ATATTAAAATGGTTCAAGCTGGAGGAAAAAATCTGCAGGTTACCTCAATGCATGAGAATTGCAACCAAACATGGAAGTAAGCAAAAATTGTAAAGCTGCTAGCTGTGCAGCACTAGATAAATTCACTGTCATACTCTACCTTACAGAAAGTGAGTACAGATCTTCCCTTTCATTACTCTTCCTCAAGAGATAGCTTCCATCCTGCCCGTTGGAAAGCAGTAGCGCTTCTGCTGCATGTCGGGTAAGATTATCATGGTACCACCTGGGAAGACACAAGGGATTAAAGCATCATTTGCTCAGCCCTTAACTGACAGCTTCTACTGCATTATAGAGCTGAGTTACAGAAAGAAGGCAGAGTGCAACTAACACTGGTACAATTTTGAGGTTTTCTCACAGGCGCACACAGGTTATGCAGAACTCTGCCCCTTTAGCAGCCTCATTTCAATACACTCGGAAAACAATATTTTTTTTTAACTACAAAGTTGTGTACAAACAGCTGACAGTTTGCTAAATCTTAAAAAAAAAAACAAAAAAACAAAACAAAACAAAAAAAAAACACAAACAAAAAAACCCACCCCAAAACCTACTTGCCTGAGCAACAAATTACCCAGGTCTACACTGATAAGGTGAAAGCAATTTTGGGGGCTAGGCAGTATCCTTTGTCTATTTTCAGAATCTGTACTTCCTGACATATCTACACGCTTTGGTACACTTCCTCTTTTGGGGCAAACGGGCAACACTGAAAACTCCTCCCAAACTCTGTTTTTCCCACAACTTAGTTCATCTGCGCTACTAAGATCTGCAATTAAACACATTTGCCTAAGCTTAAAACTTTCATTTAAAGAACAACCCTTTTGGAAGAAGGAACAGAGGAAAGGACCAAAATTAACTGACAGAATTTGAAGTTAAAATTTAGGAAATCTCGCCGTTGTTGCTGCTCAGCCATATGTGGTCTGAGTAATGCAGGAAAACATCTAAATGCCTGCTTCATTTAACTTCAGTTAAAAATAACTTCTTTTTTTCTATGAAAAATTTCACAATGAATCCACAGAAAAAATCCTGCAAAGAAGATAATGAAATACAGTTTACAGGTTCGTTTCTGTCCAGATGTTTCTATTGTGAATCATTCTGATTTCTTTCAATAGAAAAGGATCTTATTAGAAATGATCCTGAGACGGAACACAAAGAGCCACAGCTATAAAAGGCTGAAGTTCCAACCCTGTAATAGATGCCACGTGCAGATATTGAAGATAATTATACACACACCCCAGAACCTCTGGTGCAGAAAGAGGCAGGGATACTGTACCCAGGACACAGCTCTGCAGGGAGCAAGCTTCTTGCCTTGTCTGTATGTGGAACGGTGCTGAGTCTCCTTCCCCCTCCTTTAAACTGTGTGTGCCTGTATTATTGGGGTCAAAGTCTATTGCTGTTTCAGCCAGAGAAATACAGTTTGACTGAAAGCAGAAGTGTGATCGCAGCACTTTCTGGCATTTGTATCATGGCAGTCTTCAAACTGAAACGAGGTGTAATTGTATCCTCTTTCTCCTTATCTGTTCACTGCAAGTTGCCACTTGGCATCTCACACAAAGTTTTAACTCTGAATTTAGGCGGCTGCCTACTTGAAAGGCCAGCTGGCTGACAAATTGCTTTATAAGAGACTCCAGACTGTTAACCCTGTGGAAGACAAGATCCCCATGAAACTCAATACAAGCAGGGTATTGCTGCTTTGGTTCTAGAACGTGCTCCATGGACCATCTACACAGTCAAATAAAATAATGAATACTTAAAGATCAAAGTGTCATCCTCTGTAACACCTGTTATCCACAATCTGCTTAGGATTAACTGCCCAAGGAACAGTCAAAGGTTAGATCTGTCCTGATGCGATGAGGATCATATCAGCATGCACACTTGGCTGGACCTACAGCTGAGAAGACAATGTTGTGTTTTGCATGGAATTTCATAATACTATTTTTCTCACTTCTTCGCAAAAGAAGCATACATTGAGAAAACATGAAAGTGGTCACTTTCATAAAGCAGGTATATTCAGTTTGTGGTTGCCCATAAGTGCGCTGCTATCTTATTTCTAAAAAGCCTTTTACTAAGATTTTAAAATAGAAGCCACAAGTTTAAAAAAATACTATGTTTAAATTTATTCTCTCTTTACGCATAAAAGGCCAGTAACTAATGAAATTTTACCAATATGCAAAAAAAACCACCCCAAAACCCAACCTAAAGCCAACAAAAAACCCCACCCACTTAATTGGGAAAATAAGGTTGTTTTAAAGTGCAGTTTTAAATCTTTGCTGACAAGGTTGCACCACTCTTCTTGCCTAAATATGTTGTCTTAGACAAAAATCCCTCAAATGCTACCATGTTCCTCTTGCTCAACTTCAAAAATAAAAGTGGATATGAGACAGTAACATAGATCTTAGTGTCAAAATAACTGTGTTATGCATCACTTTTTTTTTTTTTTTTCCTCTTCCTGTGATAGATGTTTCAATCAGTAACAATGGTCAGGTTATCTGGATATTCCACTGGAAAAACTGTCAGGCAAAACTTTTTTCAATTGCATGAACACAGGTAAAATTTAAAAACATTGTGGAAAATTTAGCATTTGCACACAGACCACCAGGAAGGTAAATAAATACACACCTATGCAAATAGTCTGCTCTCCCAATCAAGCCTGATTGACACAAATACAAGTAAACCAGACTAAAAAGAAACCCAAACAGCACTGTGCTTAGACACTATCAGAGATACTTCAGTTGAATTTAAGTACTTGTTGGAGGTAGAATCCTTCTATTTATCTTATTTAGAAAAATAACTTTTAGTCAGCTCTCTGAAATTTGCAGGTAAATCAAGGTGGGAGAGATGGTTCATTAAGCAAAACGCTTAAAGGGCAGTCACCTTTAGCTTAAGTTTTGGTTGTCTTTTGAGTGATACCTGGGGGAGAAAACTGTTGACAGAAAATATGATACTGTATCTACCTTCTTGCCTCCTTAAAACAAGAAATTAATGAAACCAAAAGGCTTTTCAAATACCCATCTCTTTGAAGCCCCTAATGAATCCTTCAAGAAACTGAATTGTCTTAACTCTTTCATTTTGAACCATGATGCATGTCTTGCATATTGGGCTGTTTTCTGCAGGTCCTTCCAAAAGCCATCTTTATTTGACCCAACTTACACTGTATTTGCCAGAGAAGAATCCAGAAATATGCCCTGCACTTTGACACTTGTCAGACTGATAATCACCAGAAGTGTAAAAATTGCCTGGAACTGATGCAAATTTCTCTGACGAAACACAAGAAGAAAGATAGAAGAAAGTCCTTCCACTGCTTCAGAGCCAATTCTGCTGGGTGCCCTTGGCCTTGCATGCCTTCCTGTCTCAAATGCATGCATACTTCTGGGAGGCTTTTCTTTTCTAATTATTTCATTTCTCCTATAAAAAAAAAATCCTGCATGCTCCCCTTTTTTGGGTTCCTTACTGCCAATTTGACTAGCAATCTCAGTTTCAGAGTTTATAATTGCTGTCATTTATCCATTCTTGTTACTTTAACTTTGTCCTAAATTACATGAAATCTCTTCAGTTGCATACATGTAAGCATGTTTGTGTTGCCACTGTGTGTTGTTGAAGGACCATGCTATTCTTCCTGCTCTTTGGAGTGGAAGAGTCTGCTGGGCCCATGAAAGTAAGTCTTAGGACGGGCACACAGCCCTAGTGAGATTAACTTTGTTTCTCTTTGGAAAATAAAGCATTTTCAGAAATCAGCCTAGTCTTCAGATCAGATTGCGTCAGTGACAGTGTAGGAAGGGCTTTACTGGCATTGCTGTTAAGAGAAGGAGGAGAAAGAAATGAGACACACAGTGCATGCCAGAGAACCAAAACTCATCAGAGCACACAGCCTTGCCCTAAGGATCTGCCCACCCAGTCACTAGTGGGGTTCCCCTGGTAAGCTGGTGACTGCCACGGTACAAGCCATGTCTACACTGGCCAGCTGTACCACTGTGCTAATCATCACAACTCTGGAATAGGACACACTCGTGTAAAAATCTCTTCTTTCATTAAGATCTCTGTGTCGTTCATGCAGTGACTAGAGCTCCCTACACATCATAAACCCATAGCTGGCATTAGGTGGATTAACTTTTTAACAATACCAGAATACACAAGGAACACAAACACTCATCCATGGTTAACCCAAGGATGAATGTTTAGTGAATTGGATAATTCTCTTCTCAGCCATTTTTATGTGCAAAGTGCATAACACCCAGTAGAAACACTCACTTTTCTTCCTCGTAAAAATGAAAGATAGCTAGTGGCAGAAGACAGCACAGCTAGAAGTTCTGACTGGCATTTGTTTTTAGTGTCTGGAGTGGTAACTCTGAGGTACGCCCAGCTATCAGATAAATGCAGTAGGCAGAGGTCAGGCTTATTTTTTGTGTCCTGACCAAATTATGCTCTCAGATAGAGTTAGGAACTGTGTGTGTGTTTGGCTTGCTTTTGTAAAGAGTCAGGCAATTCAAAGTTCCTGCTTCTCAGCATTCAGCTGGGTGATCTTCCTGCTCCCTTCCCAGAAGCTCCCTCCCCTACTGCAGAAGCTGCAATACTGCTTGTGCTCCTCGGTGGGTGACCGTCCCTATGGAAAGCACCTCAGCTGGCTGAGCTGCAAGAGCCCAGCAGGAACACAGCAAATCTAATTCATCTATCTCCCATCTCTGAAAGGGAACAGAGATCTGCATTAGGGAGAGATGGTCCAGATGTGCTCTCAGTAGGATTTCAATATTATTCGGAGCAGCTATTTACCCTGCTGGTTTGTTGGTTGGTTTTGGTTTTTTTTTTAGTGGTGGTAGATGTTGGCAGGTTTGGCACCTTTTTTCATATTAAAAAAATATCTTCTACCATGATCAGTTGAGTTTTCTTACACTTTGAAACTATATATTAGCCTCAAAGATGTATTCCCTTTCTTAGTTCAAAGGAGTAGTACACTGTACTGCTTGATGGAGCGAGCAGGAAAGCCCTCACTTATCTCCTTTGGCTGGGCACAATGCTCTTCGTGTGCCTGTACTCCAAAAATTACTCTACAAAATAATCTCACTAGTTCTCTGCGTGTTGGATTTCCGATCAGATCTGTCAAGGTTTGTTTGTTTGGGTTTTTCTTTTATGTTAACTTTTTTTCCTAATATCAAACCCTGGAAGCATTACCTATAATCTCAAAGTTGCGAAGGGCTCTCTGTACCTCACATAAGTAGAAGAGAAGTTTTGGCAATGTTTTTAATAGCACAGGAGTTGACAGAGCTCTAGAGAACCTACAAAAGGGTGAGGATGCTAAGATAAAAGTTATAGTGGCATACAACCAAAATTGCTATTTATTAGACATCCTTTCAATGTGTCACACTGGGAAACTTAGTCACACACCTATGTAAAGTACTTTGTTGGAATACAAGGGTGCCATTTCATAGGAAAAATAATTTAAAAATAGAAACATGAGGAAGTAACATCAGTGTATCCAGCCTTAAAGTTCATGTCTTCTAACTGTAGGCTTTCACTAGTTCAGCTTCTGCTTTTCACTTCCATTTTCTCAGCCCCTTCTCTCAACTGCCTTTGTTCTGATTTTCACCCATTTCTTTTGCCAACTTTCTAACTGTTGTCATTTTGCCCTTGTTTACATTGGAAATATGGATGAAGGAAAAAAATTCTTATGACCATTCACCCTGTCCCAGTCATATGAGTTGCTCAATTTCTCCAATTTTATCATCATCTGATCTAGGCCTGTGGTCTAATTTCTCTTCTCTTACTAAAATAAAGCGTGAAGTGTATTGTTTAGTCTTACCAAATACCATGTCTCATGGTATAGTCAAACCTAGAGCTGGAGGAACACAAAAGCTATGCTGCAAGGGATGATAAAGAACGCTTGGACAGCAAAAGGAAAAAGGTTACAAAAACTTGTTTCCTCTTGCCCTGTTCCTTTCACTTCCAAAAGGCAAACATTGTCGCCAAAGCTATGCTATGTTGGGAGGGAAGCTGAGTTACCAGACCAGCCTGTAAGTACTCGGATGACGAGATACTCCACATTCTCATCTCTTGCGCAAATAAAGTTAAGTGCAACGTGGAATTCCCCAAGCTCACATTATACGTGATCAGCTACAGGAGTTTCACACTGCAGTCCTTTTAGCAGTAACAGCAATAAATGCAATTGGAAAAAGTGTTGGCTACAGCAATAGCCAAAGAGACCCTCAAAGAAGAATCACAATGTCAATTTCGTTTTCCTTTAAGCCAAGATGCTTATGTGTCTTTTGACAAACTTCAGTGCTCTCTTTTAAATATTGTGGTAGGTTTAGGGAAGAAGTTAATGAATGAGGTAACGTGTTTTTAACAATGTGTTCTGATTTTGATCTATCTTGTCATTAGGCATTAGTTCCACCTATTAACACATTGACAATGAAGCTGACAGTAATTTGAATTTTCACTTTGAATTCTTGATTGTTTGACCACCCAAAATCTCCAAACAAATATAAGCCACCTCAGACTGAATGAAATAGTTAAAAAAAAAAAAAAAAAAAAAAACCCAAACCCATCACTCTTGCTTTCTTTTGTTGTGATGTAAAAGGTCAGAAAGTTCATCTTTACAAATGTTGAAGCTCTGGAGAAAACTAATCAAATCTGATAAACAGCTGTAGATACATCTAGATATTTCAGCGACTGTGATTGTCCCTGATGACAACTGGGATTCTTAAATCTTATTTCTTGATATTTTTTTTTTTTTTGTGACAGATGGGATACCTGTAGACCCAGGGTAAAATAAGGGTGGGGTTTGTATATATGGAATTATTTTTTTTTCTCTTCTCCCTCCCTCCTGCCTTGGTCTCATCAGCTCTGATACTCTCGGTGTAATTACAGCATTAACCTAGAACAGCCCAGGAAATACCAGGTCCTTCAAACCTAGCAGAGAGTTAGACAGGTTTTACACTGTACACCCATCTACATTGCTGTCAACTTTCCATTTTGATGACTAGCTGACCTGGTAAACTACAAGGATATCCTGGTACCCAATCTCCTTTCTTGTAAAAGTAAAGAAAAAGTGCTTCCCATTTCACACTTCTTCAAAGCTTTAATGTCTTTGATTTTTGCATAGTAAAGCGGAAGCTCTAAAATAACCTGCTTCAAATTCCCCCCAAAGATATGTGAATGTCAAAGCTGCTCCTCATTTGAATGACCCTCATCTCTGTTGGTCTTTAGTACTTCTTCACCAGAATTGGGTCTCAGTTGTGTTACATGTTATGTCGGGTGTAAGTAGAACTCAGCACTGTGATAGCACCAGGGACTAAGTTTAGGGTTTTGGTGGCCAAGAACTTAATGTGATGGTCTGGAAAGTGACATAGCTACTTTTCACAGCTGAAAAAATATTTATATTAAGAGACCTTTCAGACTATGCTACCAGAATGTTTGATGCGTGAGGACTTCTTTTTTCTCTTCAGAAAAAAAGCATAAAAAAATGGCTTTAGTACTACATGGAAAAAAAAGGGCGTTGTTTAATGATCTGAAGGGAATCTTTGCTTGGTATTGCTTATGCACCTTTAGTGCATTTAACTGAACATACTGCCCTAAAGGAGATGCTTTAGTATTCTGTGGTAGAGTGAAAAGTTTAGGTTTTCCATTGAAGTGGAAATAAAATAGAGAAGCTACAGCTTTAAAAATGCTTATTTTCGCCTTCTCATTTGTATTCTTTCCTTCTCACTGGTACCACATCAAGCTGCAGTCCTACATCATCTATGAGGACTAACTCCTTGCCAACCAGCGAGGCTGTTTATAAGCACAGGTTACAGGTTACAACTCAGCCCGTATAGTCTAAATGAATAAAAGTCTGGCAATTGCAAATCATGCTTCCCACAGCAGCTGCAATTCCTTTTTTTTTTTTCTTTTTTTTTTTTCCCCTGTAAATACCTTTTTAGGATGAGCATAATCTTACAGATGTAAAGGAAAGTATATAACGGCCACTCTGGGTACCATTGCAAAATGACTTGACTTCATATTTGTTAGATGCTTCAGTAACCGGCACATAATTAACAGGTTCTTCTACATATCGGAAAGTATCAGCAGTGTGGTGATACTTGGAATTGGTATCTTCGTTACACTCCAGTTTCTTCACTAAGTTAATTAATCACACAAAAAAAAAACCCAACCATGATTTGGTCCTTATCCATAAGTACCCAGCAAGCGAAAAAAACTTTACTTTTTTTCATCTGTTCTTTTTGAATGCCGAAGCGACATCAGAACTTTTTTGCTTTTTCAGTCTCTTTGCTGGCCTTTCTTCTGCCTTGTCTCCCCTTTGCTTTGCTGCCACTCATCCCTCCCGCCCTGGCCAGCCGGTGCCCACCCGTGCTGCTCCTCCAGCCCGCGTTTCTCCTCACCCACGGCAATGCCATGCGTGAAAAAGTTGCCCAAGCCTTCTTCCCATAAAAAGCCAAACTAGCTGGCAGACAAAATGGGCGACTCACATCGGACAGGGAACCAGCTCTGGTGCAACCTTCGGCCTCCCTTTTCGCCCCTCAGGTGTTGCTTTCGAGCGAGGGTTGACACATCCTCGTAACGGGCTGTGAACCGTCCACTGCTCTCGCTCCCGAAGCCTGAGGCGCCCCGGGGGAGCCTGCTGCCTCCCAGGGCCCAGCAAGGAGCGGCCGGCATGGCGGCCAGGATGGCAGCCCTCTGGGCCAGGGCCCAGGCCAAGCCAGGAGATGGCTGAGGGGACAGCGCAGCTCTGCAGCCGGAGAGGACAGGCAGCTCTGAGGACAAGCTCTGGGTCCGGTGCTCCCTTGAGACACAGGTACAACACGGGGTCTTCCCAATGGAGGCGGTTTCAACATTGCAGAGCTTCTGCAAGTGAAGCTGTAGCCCCTTGCCTCTGACTTTCCACTAAATTCAAAGCGCCTGCCCGCGCTCTAGTTTTTCTGTTACTTATTCCTCCCGCTCACCTGCCGCACGCCAGCATCCTCTGTACGCGGGAGCCTGACGGCCCCTCAAACCCGCCACAGGGATGAAGCGCTGGGCTCCTCCGAGGGGCTTTGCACCCTGCACGGAGCCCTTCGGCGGGCTCATGAAAACAAACCCCCGTTTATCTTATTCCTCGCTTCATCACCGAATTCAGTGGAAAGAACTGGCAGCTCCCACCCTGTCAGCTCCCCTCGGGCAGCCCGGCCCCCCCCGCGGGCCGCCATTTCGCGCGGGGACACCCCCCAACACCCCCCTCAACCGCCCCCGGCGTTGGGTG